ACATCATATCTTCTACTGAACAATCACCTAAGTTTCATTGTGTTGCATCAATAAATGATACAGTTCTTTCTAGTCCTCGAGAAACTATGCAAAGAAAATTTTCGTGCGCATGTCCACGGTGCAGGAGTGGATCTGAATTACCTAAGAAAACTATATATAAAATGGTATCAAATACAGTTTTGAAAATGAATCATAACAGTCATACTGGCTGTATACTTTTCTGCATAGTGTTTCCAACTGCATTCCTTCTGGCACAGTCTTCCTACTCTTTGTGACAGTTAGGAATATAAACTTTTACGTGAGTTTCATATCGCTTCCTTCCCAATGCACACACAATATTAGTGGCTGCTTTTTGCCTTACCATTGCATCATAAATGTTTTCCCATATTACAATATTATCTTCTTGTTTATGGTTTTAAAGGGGTGGATACTGTTCCATTTGTTGCTTGTGTCATAGCTCTCGAACACTTCCCAGTTGTTGAGCACTTAAGTTGTTTCTGTTTTATATATTATTCATAATGCAACTATTATTTTTCACCCATAGTGTCCATCTTCTCTTAAATTGTTTTCTTAGGATAACTTCCCAGCAATGAGATGACTGTTCAAAGAATTTGAACAACTTTTTAATTCCTGATCTATCGCGCTGTATTATACTGCCTCCTTGGGCATTCTGTTTTTTAATTTTTTAATGTTGATTTATTTTTGAGAGAGAGAGAGAGAGAAAGAGAGCAGGAGAGGAGCAGAGAGAGAGGGAGACACAGAATCCAAAACAGGCTCCAGGCTCTGAGCTGTCAGCACAGAGCCCAACGTGGGGCTCGAACTCTAGAACAGTGAGATCATGACCTGAGGTGAAGTTGGATGCTCAACCTACTGAGTCACCCAGGCATCCCTGTTTGAGCATTTTTGAACAGCACTGGGCAGCACTGACTGGGGATGGTCCTTACGTTTATGGGTTCGTGGATGTATAGTCTTAAATTGGAACACAGCTTACCCTTGGGGTTATTTTAATGGGAAAACCTATGAAGAGGCTAGGACCGAACCAAGGCAGAGGTTTCTGAGTTTGGCTTTTTGACTCATACAATTGAATTGATTCTGTCATTTCATGACACTTGCCACCTCATTATGTCTAAGCAGTGAGTTATTTCGTTGTGTGTGTGTAGGTGTGGGCAGAACTTCAAATGCTAGTCCCATTAAAATTGTGAGAGAGAGATGTGCTGGACGAAAAGTATCCCATAAATGTGACCCACATGTGGCTGTTCAAGAAACTTGGAGTTATGGCAATGTGGTACAGGCAGACGTTCAAAATCTGTTGCAGGAGCCTGTCAGGTGTCGTATACGAGTGAAACGGCAGGGCTGGGCGATACAGGAGGTCAGGGACAGGGTGACGTGGGGAATACGGGCCTTATCCAGGAATGTGCTGGTACTTGACTCCCTCTGATAGCTTCAACAAAGGAATGCCAGCTCGGTATCTTTAGCACTTCCAATTTTTCAAGAGGGTTTGGAAATCTAAAGTTTTAGGTGTCTTGGTCCATTTGGGCGACTGTAACAAAACTACCACAGACTGGGTGGTTGACAGACCTTTATTTCTCACAGTTCTGGAGGTGGGAGGTTCAAGATCAAGGTGCTGGCAGGATTGGTGTTGGGTGAGAGCCTGTCTCCTGGTTCCTAGACAGACTTCTTTAAGCTGTGTCCTCATATGGCAGAAGGGGTAAAGGAGCTCTCAGGGCCCCTTTTATAAGGGAACTGATCCCATTCACCGTGAACTCACAGGCCACCAGTTTGTTCGGGTGGCTTTAAAGAGGCACACCTGTAAGGTTCTACCGTGAGCCGTTTCCTTCAAAAATTGTGGTTTTAAAGTAAAAGATATCTTAATAGTTTGATTTGCCCATCATTTACCAAGTGGTACATAGCCCATGTTCCAAACAATGCGGGCTTCGCCATATTTGAAATGGTGTTGCATTGAATTAATATTATTTCAGATTTCTTCTGGTGACCATGATACAATCGTACCGACCACTGAGTGATTTGCTCAGTCCAGTGGAAAATGGATCTGTCCTGTCAAAACTCTTATTTTCGTCTCTTAAATAATTCATCCCTAATGGTAATTTAAGAAGTCTGTTTAATATACTAAAAAATACCCTGAGAAACACCTTACATCACCGTTCCTGTGAGGCCAGAATCCAGGACAGCTTAACGGGGTCCTCAGCTCAGGGTGTCACAGGCCGCAGTCAAAATGTCAGCCAGTCTGTGTTCTCAACTAGAGGCTCAGTTGAGGAATAGAGGAATAGAGGAAAAGAAGTCGGCTTCCAAGATCACTTAGGATGTTGGCAGAATCTGCTTCCTTTCTGTTGTAGTACTGAGAACTTCAGTTTTCTGCTGTCTCCTGGAGGCCGTCCTCAGCTCCCAGCAGGCTGGCCACAGTCCCTTCCACGTGGCCCTCTCCATAGGCAGTGTGCAGTGTAGCAGCTGGCTCTTCAAGGCAAGCAGGAGAATGAGAGCTTTCATTTCTAGCATGACTGAGCCTTACACAGGATGCCATCATCGTGGGATTCCTGTCCAGTCACCTGTGCCCTACTCTGGTTAGGAGCAAGTCACGGGTCCCACCCACACTCAAGGGGAGGGATGATACAAAGTCACGAACACAGGAGGAGGGACCATAGGGGTACGGTAGAGTCTGCCCGCCATAGGATTTCCAGTGCCCTAAATACTGCCTGGCGCATGGTACACAGTGAGTGCTGGTAGTTGATTGAATTAATGTTGCAGCCATTACTTTTTGAACCACGTATTGCTATCTTTTTCCCAAGTCTGTGGTTTATCATCTGGTTTTATTTATTACACGTTTTGATATGTAGGAAAGGTTAAATTTTAATTTAGACAAATCAACCAAATTTTCCCTTGGTTTGTTACATTACTTTACATCTCAAGGGGCCCTTCTCCTATCTAGAGATCAGATAAATATTTGCCTCTGTTTTCGCCTAGATTTTTAATGATTTCTTTATCCTTTTTTTTTTTTTTTTTTTTTTTTTTTTTTTTTTTTTTTTTTTTTTTTACATTTAACTCTGACCTATCTAGGGGCGCCTGGTTGGCTTGGTCGGTTAAGCGTCCGTCTTCGGCTCAGGTCATGATCTCACGGTCCGTGAGTTCGAGCCCCGCGTCGGGCTCTGCGCTGACAGCTCAGAGCCTGGAGCCTGTTTCAGATTCTGTGTCTCCCTCTCTCTCTGCTCCTCCCCTGTTCATGCTCTGTCTCTCTCCGTCTCAGAAATAAATAAACGTTAAAAAAAAAATTTTTTTAACTCTGACCTATCTAGTACGTTTAGAACTAGAGGGAGAGGTGTAACATGATACAGTGAGTAATCCTTTTTTTCTCCACTAATCTTTGCTACCTTATTTAGCTATATTGAGTTATTATATACTTGCTGCTGGACTCTCTATTCTGTTTCATTTATTTGCCATTCTCTTCTTGCTTTAATTACACACTTACAAAATACAGCATTGACAAAAAATTTTTCATTAAAAAATAAAAATTACAGCATCACCAGTCAGAAATGCCAAAGAAGTTACTATCAGACTCATTCAGTGTAATAATTAGGTACGTGGTCTAAGCTGTTGTAACAGAGAGACTGAAAATACAGAGGCTCAAATAAAGTTGAAGCGTTTTGGTATTTTGTGTAGCCGTGCAAAGCTATGTGTAGTCCAGAGCTAGAGAGGCAACCCTTCTCCACCATCATCTAGGGACCCAGGCTCCTTCCACCCCATAGCTGTCCAGCCCCCAGGGCGCTGTCCTGGTGTGTGTGGGCATAGCTGTCTTCACCCTTACATCCATGCTCCAGTCTATGGAAAGGGAGTGGTGAAAGTCCTGGGAAAGTGCCTTGGCCTTTGAGCTCATGAGCCAGAAATGGCATATTATTTTTCCTTGCATCCCTTTCATTTAGACTAAACCATGTTATAAAGAAGATGTGGTGTGTATGTATGTGTGTGTGTGTGTGTATATGTGTATATATATGTGTATACACACACACACAATGGAATATTACTCTGTGATAAAAAAGAGTGAAATCTGCCATTTGCAATAATGTGGATGGAAATAGAGTGTATTAAGCTAAGCTAAATAAATCACAGAAAGACAAATATATGATTTCACTCATGTGAAGTTAAAGAAACAAAACAGATGAACATAGGGGAAGGAAAGGAAAAATAAGATTAAAAACAGAAAGGGAGGCAAATTATAAGAGACTCTTAAATACAGAGAACAGGGGCGCCTGGGTGGTTCAGTCGGTTAAGCGTCCGACTTTGGCTCAGGTCATGATCTCACTATTTGTGAGTTCGAGCCCCGCGTCGGGCTCTGTGCTGACAGCTCAGAGCCTGGTGCCTGCTTCGGGTTCTGTGTCTCCCTCTCTCTGCCCCTCCCCCACTCACAATCTGTTTGTCTGTCTCTCAAAAATAAATAAAACATTAAAAAATTTAAAAAAAATACAGAGAACAAACTGAAGGTGGCTGGAGGGGTATTGGGCAGGGATTGGGCTAAATGGGTGATGGGCATTAAGGAGGGCACTTCTTGGGATGAGCACTGAGCGTTACGTGTAAGTGATGAATCACTAACTTCTACTCCTGAAATCATTAGTACACTGTATGTTAACTAACTTGTATTTAAATAAAATTTAAAAATTAAAAAAAAAAATAGGCTAAACCATGTTGCCACATCCACCTTCAAGAGAGGTTAGGAAATACGGTATCAAACTGGGCGGACATGGATTTGGCTAAAATTTAGGAGGATCTCTTATTAAACAGAAGGAGAAGGGGTATCAAGGACAGCTAATGGCCTTTGCCCCAGTCCAGGATCCATAGCTACAAATAACCGTATTTAACAGGAAAAGAATGATCATTTCTGTCAAGTGAAAAATCAGCCTTTGGATATGACCATAAAATATAAATATGTCCTGGTTTTTGGTTTCAGATGGCCAGTAACCCGTGTGCCAGGTAGCAGTCTGTGCCAGTCTTGAATGCCAACAGGAAGTCACTGGACAGCAAACCTCTTCCAGGATCACAACTGGGCTATTGAAGTAACTCGAAAAAGAGGAAAAAAAGAGCTGAGGCCATGGCAAGAAGAAACCGAGTTCGGTCTACCTCTCCTCCAGATGGAGGCTGGGGCTGGATGATTGTGGCTGGCTGTTTCCTTGTTACCATCTGTACTCGGGCAGTCACCAGGTAGGTGGGGTTTTCTTCTAGATTTATTAAGATGATCTGGCTTGTCTTTTCTTCTAAGTCTGCTTCGTTCTATTTCTGAACCTCTCATTGTGAAAATATCTGTGTATATGTACAGGGTGTGTGTGTGTGTGTGTGTGTGTGTGCGCGCGCATTTCCTTTGCTTGGATATCTTTTTCTTTGCGAGGAATGTGATTTTCTAATACCTGAAAGTCCTGGATAGTGGTGTCTTCTATAATATCTGGCACATACACCTGAAATGTGAGGACATTTTTAGACTAAATGTTGTGGCTATTCCAGCCGTTTGTTTTCGTAAACAGCTCATCTCAGAAAAGAAAAATACATAAGGTCAAAACAATCCTTGAAAACCTCTTGGCTCACCAGATACTGAGCTGTTGGAAAGCTTAATACCTAGAATTTAAATTCTTCTGCTTCCTTTTACATTTGGCTGGAGGCTAAGTTCTAGGTTGAAGGAAAGTAACAGCGTAAGTACAGGCTTCTCTCATTCTTGTTCATTTCTCCTCGTTCTTTTATCCAAGGCCCTATTGTTGAATATGCTTAAGTTAAACCCATGTACATTGGGACTCATTCATCTCACTTATATTTGGAGTAAATGTATGCTTGAGGTCTGCATGTGCTAGCTCTTCCGTCTACTTATGCCTTCATTGAAGTAGAACTCTTTACTCTTCTCTGGCAACACACCGTTAGCAGTGGCCGAACGTAATTTGCCCTGAAAACTTTATTTGATGACATCATCAATAAAAGCATCAGTAACAAATACATAACGCAGGAAATAAGCAGGCTCTTTGTGTTTGGTAAAATAAGAGTTGGTTGATTATGTATCATAGAAACCTATAGATTTGTTTAACATAATATGGTATTGGGTCTGTTTTTTTTTTTTCCATCTCTATCATGGGTCTTGTGTTGTGGGTGTGAGGAGTCATAGAGTTAAAAAGGAATCTTTTGGTTCTTACATGTGGAAGCTCCCATCATTTCCAACATGGAAAAGTTCTGGAACTGACTTCAGTGCTTTATAAGGAGGTTGATATCTTTATAAGGAGGTAGTGGAGTCTTCGTGACCCCTTTTATTTATTTATTTATTTATTTATTTATTTATTTATTTATTTTAACGTTTATTTATTTTTGAGACAGAGAGCATGAATGGGGGAGGGTCAGAGAGAGAGAGAGGAAGACACAGAATCTGAAACAGGCTCCAGGCTCTGAGCCATCAGCACAGAGCCCGATGCGGGGCTTGAACTCATGAACCGTGAGATCATGACCTGAGCCGAAGTTGGACGCTTAACCAACTGAGCCACCCAGGCGCCCCTCATGACCCTTCTTAGATGGAATAGTTTTATATATCCCCACGAATAGATTAGGACACTGGTGCTAACGTAGGTTAAGTAACTTACCTACAGTTTTGGTCTAGTGGGACAGAACTGGACTGGATTTCTAGTCTTTTTTACTTCTTGTCTTGTTTACTTGCCGTTGCATGTGCGCATATAATCCACCAACTCTTTCCAACACAAACCAGATTATCTTCCTACCTCATTATTTCTCACACATGCACCGTATCTGCCCCATCTTCCATACACATGTATATATTCACACACATATCCTCTGTTAGTGCCTTTTCATTGTGAGAAGTGACTACTTCAGTCTTCACCTTTGTTCTGCTCTAAGATGTAGGCACTTTGAGGAAGTTCTGTGGCCAGTTCCTTGTCCCCTGAAACACTCTGAACCTTATCCTGTAGAACAGTGTGGGATCACCAGACGTAGGTTTTCTAAAAATTGCCTTGGTGATGGAATCGTTGTCTTAAGATCTTACTTCCTAATCTCCATATGGTTGTCACACCAGTGATGAGAAGTCATGGTGCCAGGGGACGGCTGTTTCTAAATTCTTCTAACGGAGGCTCTCTACGCTCCTTGTCCTGTTGGCAATTAGTCATGTTAGTTGTCACCCCAATTCATGTACAAACAACTGCACATTAAGGCTTGGAGACATCTGGATTGTTTGAGTGTTGTACTCTGAAACTATGGAAGTGACTTGGGGCAGGTGTCTGTAGAAAATTGAGGACTTACCTCAAGGACACTGATTTCTTGATGGTCTTTTATGCTCATTGACATCTTATATGGCTTGTCTTGTTTGGCAGGACATTGAATCTCATTTTTTTTTCCTCAATCACAGTGGAATTGCTGTGGAACCCATGACTGTCACCCAAGGCTGAAAATCTTGCATATTTTTTTCGGTTGTATCTTTAAGTTTTCAACTTCAAGTTAATGGAAATCAAGTTCCCTAATATCTAGCTATACGTTCATTGAGGACAATGCTCTATCTAGGTGTTTTCCAAAAATACAGAGATGCTGGAACACCGCCTGGTAGGCGCGGGCACAAATAACTGAAATACAAATCCAAATGGGCTAAGTATACATCGGATAAAAACAGCGTGTAAAATAACGCTGGTGAGAGAGGGGTTAATTCCGATCTGGGAGTTCAGGACAGCTTTCAAGAGACGTTGTCCCTGGAGTGAAGTCTTGAAGAGTGGATAGTATTTGGCCAGGAGGAAATGAGAGGAGAGAGGTTTCAAGCTGCATTAGGTGCATGTACTTTATCTGCTTTCCTCACTTTGTGATAACGGTGGGCAGTCCCCCTTCCTGAACTGCTAAGGGTTTAGCCAGAAACCAGAAGAGCGTTGTGGCAGGTAGCAAAGACCTGTTCTCAGAGGTTAATGGGAGAGGCTGAGAGGGGCATAGCTGAGCCGAATTAAGTTTAGAGGAGAAAAGTGCAAAGGCACGGCCAGCATTGGAACTCAGTGTCGTGAACAGGCAGCAGCCAATAGGACTGGAGATAGGGCCAAGGAAAGCGGCCCCTAGGGTGACTTGTCAATTCAGAGGATCAGTGCCTATTCTATTGTGCAATTAAGTCTTTTTTTCCCTGTTTAAACTGTGTACTTAAAAATTAAACCATACTTCCAGGTGCTAAAAATTTGAACAATACAGAGATGCATAAAATAGTCTTTTTCTCATCGCTTCCTGAATGTCAGTTTCACTGCCCAAAGTTAACCTTGTTATTAGCTTCTTCAGGCGTGCCCTCCCCCCAATTTAAGAACCTTACATCCATCTGTAAAGCATATTATTATTCTTTTCCTTGACACCAATAGGATCATACTGTACACACTGTTTTGAACTTATTATTATTATTTTTTGCTTAATAATATCTCTTGGAAGTATTTCCATATTCAGCACATACAGCTCTACCTCACTGAAAAATAACAGCTTAAGATTCCATCACAAGGATGTGTGCATAATTTATTTAACACATTTTGATTGAAGGACTTATATTGTTCCCTGGGTTTTGATTTACAAACAATGCTCCATACAGTCATGATCGAGACCACTTTAAAATCAACTTTCAACTCTTGCCTTGTAACTGATGATGCTGCCTTACACGTAAAGTTTACATAAAGCTCGAAGTTGTCTAGGCTATTAAAGCCGTCATTCTCATTTATTTATACTCTCTGTTCATTAATGTGTGTTGAGTACTTATTTTTTGCCTCAAGATATCTTATTACCAAACACATTCTCTATTTCAAGAATCACATTTCATCGTGAAATTATCTGACATTCTGTTTGTGAACTGACAGCTTGAGTTGGAGTTGATGGTTGAAAAAGCAATACTTGATTTGAATGTTCAAAGAAAACCTCCAGCTGTAAGACCTAACTTTTCTCAGGGCACCTGGGTGGCTCAGTCAGTTGAGTGTCTGACTCTTGATTTCAGCTCAGGCCATGATCTCATGGTTTGTGAGTTCGAGCCTCACACTGGGCTCTGTGCTGACAGAATGGAGTCTGCTTGGAATTCTTTCTCTCCTACTCTCTCTCTGCTCCCCCCCCCTCTCAAATTAAATATTTTTAAAAAGTTATATTAAAAAAAGACCTATTTTTCTTGACATCCTCTGGATCCAAATTAACTTAGTTGCAGTAGATGTCTAGAGTCCTGTGGAATTGGGGAGCTCTTTTAACAATGGCTGAATTCCTATAAATAGTAGCTAATGTTAGCTGAGTACTTGTTCTGTGCTGGTTAACATTGTTCCAAGCACCTTTCATTTATTAAATCATTTAGTCCTTGAAACAACACACAGAGGTCGAATAATGTGTCCAGAGTCACAAGGGTAGTGAGTAGGACTGCTTTTAACTACTAGGCTACACTGGCCAGTGGATCACTTCCACATTGATGCACTGGATGACTTCATCAACTGGAGAACCGTCTTTCCCAAATACCAGATGTTGTCAACATCTAGCTCTATAGGAGCCAGAGAAGAAGTTTTATTTTTTAAGATTATTTTTTCTTTAAAAAAATTTTTTTTAATGTTTATTGATTTTTGACAGAGAGAGAGAGAGAGAGCTCAAGTGGTGGGGTGGGGGGTGGGAGGTGGGCAGAGAGATAGGGAGACACAGAATCCCAGCAGGCTCCAGGCTCCGCACTGTCGGCACAGAGCCCGACACAGGGCTCAAACCCGTGGACCGTGAGATCAAGACCTGAGCCCAAGTCGGATGCTCAACCGACTGAGCCACCCAGGCGCCCCAAGATTTTTCTTTCTTTTTAAGAAATCTCTACACCCGACAAGGGGCTCAAACCCACAACCCCGAGGTTAAGAGTCGCATGCTCCATCAACTGAGCCAGCCAGGTGCCTTGAGAAGAATTTTATAGCAGAGTGGCAAGACGGAGATACTAGGCATGTTGGCCCCTTGAGGGAGAGTATCTTTGAGAATGGTATTTCATACAGATGACACTTACGTGATAATTTTGTTTCCTTATTCTTAGGAACAGAGCTTATCAACCACTGAAGGATGATACTTGCATGATAATTTTGTTTCCTTATTCTTAGGAACAGAGCCTATCAACCACTGAAGGATGTTAGGAGTTGTTTGCTACTGAGCATGATCTAATGAATGCATTATGACTGATCCAGTCGTGCTGATCAAACTGCTTATTTCAGAAATGAGGAAAAGAGACTCTGAGAGATTAAGAAGCTTATCCAAACTCTCAGTTAGTCAGTGTGAGGATCAGCGATCAGGACCCAGCTTTCCTGACACATCAGATGCACAGATTTTCCAAAGGACAATAAAAATTATTTCTGGAGTGAGAAGCACGTGTGCTCCCGATAACATTTATTTTCTTTAAGGTCATGCCTGTGTTTAGAAGCCATAAATCATGGAACTTTACCATTTGAAAAGTACTTTTTTCCCTTTTGAGAACAAGTAAGAAGTGATCCTTGTTTTTTGAAAGTCGCAGTCAATCAGAAGCATGTTCATGGTTATTAAATTTTGCCTCTGGCAAGCCTATTCACATGGTTAGATAAGAATCTTGGGTATTATTTTTGAACTTTGCATACCTAAAGTTTGACTGATATGACTAATCAGGTCAGTTAAGAAAACCATCAATCAGAAAACTAAACAGCAATAAAACAAGATAAAAAAGTTACAAGAGACAAACATAGTCGCACAAATATGAAATCCCTCAGAATGATTTAGTGAAGAGAAGAGACCGGCGTACCATCGCAAAATGTCTTCTCATCATCTGGGACCCTTTTTTCTTAGTCACCCCATGTTCTTTCCCATCTCTAGCTTCGGGATCTTCCTCCTACTGATACTTCATTCTGCCAGCTTATGAACTCAGATTCTTCACATCTCTACTTCACCTTATCCGGCTCCACGTTCCTGGTCAGCCACCCTCCAGTCTTCCTCTTCCCTTTCTCATTCATGTTCTTGAAGTTGCTGTTCAACCTTTTTTACTTCCTTCACTTCTAGTCACTTCTTTACCAATGCTAATCCTTCCTTCCTTCTTTCTTTCCTCCCTGCGATACCTTGAACCTTGAACGATATTTAATGAACACCCAGGTAATGATATGAGAGCCAGTGCAGACATGGTCTTTGCTGTGACAGAGCAACAGTCTAGTGGAGAATACAAACCAACGCAAAGGGAATCGCTATATCCCTGTAGTGTGGTAGGTGTTCCGCACGTCATGTAAACACTTACGAGAGGTATTAAGCCCAGACTCAGGTTGTCAGGGAAGCCTTCCTGGAGGAGTTGACCATTAATGTTTATTTTTGAGAGCGAGAGAGAGAGACAGAGCATGAGCAGGTAAGGGCAGAGAGAGAGGGAGCCCCAGAATCTGAAGCAGGCTCCAGGCTCCGAGCTCTCAGCACAGAGCCCGACGCGGGGCTCAAGCTCCTGAACCGTGAGAACGTGACCTGAGCCGAAGTCTGATGCTTAATCGACTGAGCCACCCAGGTGCCCCTGGAGGAGCTGACTACTATCTTTAGACTACAAGAATGAGGGCAGCTGAGAGAGCAGCCTAGAAAAGAAGAAAACTCTTTAATGCTCAGAGGTGTGAAAAAGTATGGGTGGTGTGTTGAAAGTGATGGAAATAAGTTCAGTCTGGCTGAAATGAGGAATGCATGGTGTAGGTTGGGGGAAACACCGAGAAGGGTCAACTCCTGCGGGGTCTCAGAAGTCATGTTAAAGAGTTTGAAGCATCAGGATCTCTTTCGTGGTCTAGTAAGGTCACTGACCATTGCATATGAAATGTACAGAAGGCAGCCAAGTGTGAATTCAGGGAGATGAGTTAGGAGGGTTTGGGCTGCAGTCCAGGAGAGAGGTATGGGCATGAATTATGAATGATAAGGGGAACGGAGAGCTGTGGAGGCATTTGAGAGCTATGTATAAGGTAGAATAAAACCTGACCATAGATTAGATCAGTGGTTCTCAACCAGGCTGATTTTGACCTCCAGGGGACAGTGGGCAATGTTTGGAGACATTTGGGGGGTGGAGGCCAGGGATGCTACCAAACACTGTATGATACACAGGACAATCCCTAAAACCAAGAGTTGCCTTTGTTAAAGATGATGGCCAAAATGTCAGTAGGACTTGGGTCGAGAAACCCAGGCTAACGATCACTTAACTATTTTGATAATGAGGCGATGTCTATGAAATTATTCTTCTCTTTTAAGTTTATTTATTTATTTTGAGAGAGAGAGAGGGAGAGAGTATGCATGTGCACACACGGGCAAGGGGCAAAGAGAGAGGGAGAGAGAGAATCCCAAGCACTCTCTGAGCTGCGAGTGCAGAGCCCGAGGTGGGTCTCTATCTCACAGACTGTGAGGTCATGACCTGAGCTGAAATCAAGAGTCGGATGCTTAACCACCTGAGCCCCCCCCAGGTGCCCCTTCATGGAGTTTTTAATTTGCTCTTCGGTGTTCTTACTAGCATGAGTTTACCTTTCATCTTTACATCCTGCAATCCCAGTTTTGAACACAAACGTGAGCGTTGAACTCATGCAGAATCACTGGAGCTCAGGCACGTGTATGTATTTCATTTTCACCAGAACAGGGGAAACCCTGCACCAAAAACCAAAACGAAACAAAACAAAACAACCTCCACCGTTTTCACTTCGTTTCTTGATGCACTCACTTTCTGTCAACATTCTCTATCTTCCACTTCCTGATGAATAAGGGAAGACAGAGAAGGAAAGGGAAAGGAATGGTGGGTAGCCCTACCTTTCTTTTTTCCTCCATGTCATGATTTTCAGCGTAAGTGGTTGGCTAGTAAAATACAGAGACATAACCTGAGTCAGAGAGGATATAGGAATCCTCAGTGCTTTGTGTTTCCTAGAACACTGTTGCTTGCTTTCTGCATTTGAAACAAGTTCTGATTTGAAAGGAAAGCATGGCCTCTCTCAGGAGTGAGAGCCTTCCTCCCCCTACCCCCATGGTTACTCAGTTGTCAATGTAACATAACTTGCACACACTCTGAGTCTAACCCAACACCCACACATTGTGAGTCTACCAGAGTTTATGTGTCTAATACCACACATGTCCATGGGAAGACAGAGAGTCGCAAACACACGTGGTGCGTGTATCTCCTCTGCTCGTGTGCATGCCCTGTTGCTCCTTTGGACTTTACTTACAAAACATGAATTCAGAGATGAACGTGTTAGAAATTTTAAGACCGTGACAGCTGAAATTCTATGCTTCTGAGTGCCAGATTCTGTGCGATTGCAGAGGATGCACGCTGGGAAAGCTGGCCCTGCCTAACACAGTTGTCCTGGTTCTACCTGATTCTCCTCCTTCTTTTTCTCCATCACCCACCTTCACATCTAGCAGCAACTGGAAAGGGCTGGGGAGAGAAATAACAGGTTACTGCGGGCTGCTGAAGCATGATGGGTTAGACGGTAGCCCTATCCAGAGAGGCGACCTCCTATCTCATCCTCACCAAGACCTGATCCTTCCCTGGCTGTAATCGAGTACTAGAAGCTCCTGCCCTGAATTGGGAAACTTGCTAATCTGTATGACATTCATTCAAACTTGTACAGTGATACAAATCATTGCTCTAAAATCACTTACATCTTTTTTTCCTAATTAATTTTTCAGTGTAAAGTTTCTCTGTCTCTGTATGTCTGTTTGTCTGTCTCTCTCTCTCTCTCGTGATTATTTATAATGTCACCATTCACATATAATGACTGGGTACTTTTTTGGTTTTTTCTCTATTTATATGAACTATGATTTTATCAAAATAAGCCTTTACTATATAAACTACTTTGTTTTATTTTTATTTTTTTATTTTTTTTTTCAACGTTTGTTTATTTTTGGGACAGAGAGAGACAGAGCATGAACGGGGGAGGGGCAGAGAGAGAGGGAGACACAGAATCGGAAACAGGCTCCAGGCTCTGAGCCATCAGCCCAGAGCCTGACGCGGGGCTCAAACTCACGGACCGCGAGATCGTGACCTGGCTGAAGTCGGACGCTCAACCGACTGCGCCACCCAGGCGCCCCTAAACTACTTTGTTTTAATTAACATTGTATTGTGAATTTTTTCCCAAATCAATAAATACATATCAAATCATCATTTTTTAACACCTAAAAATATTTCATTTTATTGATGTCAAAATTTACTTAGCCAGTCCCTTATTGATGGGCAAATAGGTTGGTTACAATATTTGGCCTTTATAAATAGTTCTTTAAAATATATCCTTTTATGTGTATCTATTATTACTATTATTATCATCATTTGATTATTACCTTTTGTTAAAACCTAGAACTGAAATTGCTGGGAGAGGAGATGTAGAACTCCTTTTTTTGAGAGAGAGAGAAAGAGAGAGAGCAGAGGATGGGCAGAAAGAATCCCAAGCCCCAACATGGGACCCGATCCCATGAATTGTAAGATCGTGACCTGAGCCAAAATCAAGAGTGGAATGCTTAACTGGCTGAGCCACCCAGGCACCCTGAGAGATGTATAATTCTTAATTGTCAAATTTTAACTTGTGTATCAACCTCTTAGAAGTCACAGATGTTGGTGAAATATGAAGATAAAAAAGAACCCATATTTTTGACCTGCCATATTTCCCGTAAAACCTTCCCTACAGCGGTGATCCTCATATCCACTTGGCTTCAGCAGCCCTTCTAGTGGATGAACATTCTTTCTCATCCTTTAGAGTGGCTCCGTAGCCATTGGGCCATTCTGACTTCCTACTTACTATGGTCCAGCAATGTACCACTGAAAACCAATTAAACCAGCTGAACCAGAATTTGAAACTGTGGTTTTGATCCATGCTCATTCATTTTTTTTTTGTATAAAATTCTTGCACTGTATTTTTCAGATGTATTTCCATTTTTTTTGTGGAGTTCCAGACATACTTCACTCAGGATTATGCACAAACAGCTTGGATCCATTCCATTGTAGACTGTGTGACCATGCTCTGTGGTGAGTATCACCAGGGCTAGACAATTATTGGTTACTCTTGAACTGTACGTGACACTGGCCTTCCACTGCTTCTGTTTAACAGCTTTTTATGAATAGAAGGGTTTTGCTAAAAGTTGGCTAAGACTATATAAAAAGAAAAGACTGATCCTACCTTCAGCCAAACCCAACCAGACCTGCCCTTGGAATTAATGGTCTTCACTGAGGGCAGATAGAACAGGTGATTGACACTCTCAAAAAGACATACTATTTGGTGCTCCCATATAGAGATAGGGTGCTGGACCTCACAGGACTCATCCTTATTTGGGAAACAGTTAACCATACAGTATATGCTTGACCTCTCTTTGCTAAATGCTATGGTCCCTCATTCTCCAGTCATGAAAACGGTCATTGGATCGCACTATGAGCCATTCCTATATGATCTCCTTAAGCAAATGCCAAGAAATCTTGTTCTTATTCTGTTCCCTTCCCAGAGGTTCAAAATGTGGCTCATGGATTTTGTTTTTCATGGGTAAACCTTCATTCTTAGAGAAGTATGAGGGAAGGATAGGATGGTACAGTCATGTGATCAGCACGTTCACCGTCACTATAATTTCATTCAGGAAACCCCAAGGGTACTACAGAGGACATATAGAGTCATCTCAAAATCCATGGAATCTCTCAATCCATCTATGTCGTAGAGGAACGCTAGTCTTGAGATTTTTCTTTTCAAACGTTTTATTTTTTTTTTTTTAATTTTTTTTTCAACGTTTTTATTTATTTTTGGGACAGAGAGAGACAGAGCATGAACGGGGGAGGGGCAGAGAGAGAGGGAGACACAGAATCGGAAACAGGCTCCAGGCTCTGAGCCATCAGCCCAGAGCCTGACGCAGGGCTCGAACTCACGGACCGCGAGATCGTGACCTGGCTGAAGCCGGACGCTTAACCGACTGCGCCACCCAGGCGCCCCGTCTTTTCGAACGTTTTAAACCAAAGTTCTTAAATGAATGTCTTAGAGAGTTTCTGAGATTGGGACAAGTTGGAATGATCTATTTGCAGTCTAGACCCATTTAATCATTTCATTTAAATGAATCCTTAGTATTAAAAAAACAAACCACTATTATCTCTTCAGGCCATGTCTTGTGGCAAAAAGGAAATCCCATATTATTTAATAACTTATAAATAACATCAACTGATTCCATTCTAGGTACTGATTCATACTTATTTTTAGAAAAAAAAATGGACATACTCAGGAATCAGTTGAATTGTGCTGAAATGTATTTCCTTTGTTGGGGGGAATTTGAGAGCAGTTCTGGGACGAAGAGCACGTTTCATGAGAAGGCTAAGTTGACTCTGTCTACTGATAACCCTGGAAGGTCTTAAGGGATCAGAAAATAATATCTTTGGGTTTTCTACCCTGTTTTCTTGTTTGTTTTGTTTGTTTTTTTAATCAGGAAGACTATCACTTGGTTTTCAGGGTCATGTTATTAGTCACAGCCTTTGTATGACCATGCCAAGTGAGCCATGTTTATCTTTCTCAGATGACACAGGTGACTCATTTCCCTCACTGTTATCTTTTGGAGAATATTTATTATCCCCAGAAGAGGACTAAATGGCCTTCGGTGACCAACAGGATCACAGTGACTGTGTGATACAGCTGGGTCGTATTAGATGCAGCATTTTAAAATTCAAGGACTGGAGGCCATGCAAGGACTTGAGGCCTGTTGGATCCAGTTTCCATGTACCAGTTTCCATGTTGCTCATCTGGCAACACTAGTTGAGGTCAGGAGATGGAGAAGAGGCTGCAGACACCCACTGGGGGCACTTTTCATTGAGTTTAGTGTAAGTTTTGTCACTTTCCAATAGCCATAGCGGCAGCAGCCTGGAGAATTAGATATATTCTCGGGAGTTTTGCTCCACCACAAATAGAGTGAGGCCAACCCAAATGTCACTACGGATGTGAGGCATTTTCCCAGATTTTCTGGATTTTGATTTCTCATCCACAGGGTTTCCTAAAGGCCGAAAACAGTACCAGATTGTGGAATGGTCTTTTTCCTTGGCCTTTTCCTGCACAACACTACTGGCCACACAGTGTTGCCTTCCCTTCCCTACTTTCCTTCCCTACTAGTTAACTGTGATAATTATTGCTAATGATGTGTGATTAATACTATGTGAAACATACAAGCCACATCCCTGTGTAAGTGGCATGTAATTTAAATAAGGAGCTATTTCACTATTTTAAAAGCACCCCCGAGCCCTGGAATTATGACTATAATAGAATGGAGAAGCGGAGGGCGCGCGGAAATGCAACTCAGCAGAACCGATCCTAATTCCAGCTTTGCTACTTGTTCTCCGTGTGACCATAGACAAGTCATTTCCTCTGTTCTCAGTTTCCAAATATGTGGAATGAGCGAGACGGGCTTGATGCCGTAAAGGTCAACCATTCTCTGTTCTGTCAACGCAACACCACAGCCTTTCCACAGTGCCCTCAAGGCCTCTCTGCTGAACCTATTTATTATTGTTTTTGAAGCTCCACTTGGGAGTGTCGTCAGTAACCATTTATCCTGTCAAGTGGGAATCATGCTGGGTGGCTTGCTTGCATCGACTGGTCTCATCCTGGGCTCATTTGCCACCAGTCTGAAGCATCTCTACCTCACTCTGGGAGTTCTCACAGGTAAGGGCTCTTTGTACCGCTTGTCTCCCCACCCCCTTCAGGTGTTGTCAAGCAATCAACAGAACTGTATTCCGTAAAGTAGTCATCTTGTTAGATGCGTAACGTAAAATTTTTTCATGTTTATTTATTTCTGAAGGAGAGAGAGAGAGCATGAGCAGGGGAGGGGCAGAGAGAGAGGGAGACGCAGAATCCAAAGCAGGCTCCGGGCTCTGAACTGTTAGCACAGAGCCGGGGCTCGAACCCACAAGCGGTGAGATCATGACCTGAGCCGAAGTCAGACGCCCAACTGAGCCACCTGGGTGCCCCATAGTTGCATAATTTAGTTGACTTAGCTTATGTCTACCTACCTAGCAGTTAAAAGAGCTGGAAATGCAATTGATTGCACTCCTGGAATGAAAATGTATCACTCCTTCAATTCAGCCACATGATAGAAGTGATTTCCGGCTTCCCCTCTGGTAGCAGTGGATGGCTGAGATTCTGTACTCAGAAGCAATGAGATGTTAGCCAGGGCACCATAAATTTTCAGCAGTCATCATTCTCCCAACATCTTTGCCGAGACACCAAAACACTATCTGCGCTCGACCTGAGTTGCCCCTGCTTTATAGTGAGTGAGGAGCATCATCCAATAAATGGGGGTTTACAGTTTAAAAAAGAAAGCCCCTTATTGTGAAGATTTTTACATTATGCATTCTCTCTCAATGTGATGGAATTATGCTTTAAAGAATTATGACGAACCCTGCAAGAAGAGAAGTAATCTATGTGCATCCCATAAATCATACCTAAGGGCACTGCATAGCATCAAGGTGGGGTCACTCGGTGGCACTGGAGTGGCATTTTGCCCCATCACTCAAAGGAATGGGGAATAGCACTAACTCAGTCTGGGCCGTAGGGGTAGCATGATCTGGTCAATGAAGGACATAATCTCATAGTGATTTTATAAATCTGGCTCTGTCCGTTTAAAAAAAAAAAAGGTATCTGTTCCATGTAACCCAAAAGTCCCAACCGCTAGGTGTCCAGTCATCCCAGTTTACCAAGGAGTGCCCTGGTCTTAGCACTGAACATCTCGTATCCCGAAAACCCATCAGTCCAGGCAAATCTGGATCATTGGTCACCCAGCACTGCAGATGGGAATAGGAGCCGAAGGTCGTTCTGTTTTTCCATTTAGATGCCATGCGTTCAAGGTTTTACACTCTTCAGATTTTCTTGACTTAAAAGGAATAGAAACTGAAAATCCTTAAAAGGCTTTCTGCTGACTTTAAGGAATATGTTCAGGTTACTATGTGTACATGCTGTGTTCATACACAAAGTTGGCATGAAGTTTCCCCATTATGTGAAATGATTCTGGAACTTTCATGGGGTCATATATGCTATTTAAACCCAAATTCCATGGGGCGCCTGGGTGGCGCAGTCGGTTAAGCGTCCAACTTCAGCCAGGTCACGATCTCGCAGTCCGTGGGTTCGAGCCCCGCGTCGGGCTCTGGGCTGATGGCTCGGAGCCTGGAGCCTGTTTCCGATTCTGTGTCTCCCTCTCTCTCTGCCCCTCCCCCGTTCATGCTCTGTCTCTCTCTGTCCCAAAAATAAATAAAAACGTTGAAAAAAAATTAAAAAAAAAAATAAATAAACCCAAATTCCATGAGTGGTCCAGATGATCAGAGTTGTGTTTTCATAGGCAGTGAAGAGTTGAAGTAATCCTCTGGATAATTCAAGATAAAAAGAGGTATAGGGTGGGGAGAATAAGTTTCTTGGGTCAGCATTATCTTCGTTTTCTAGTTAATTCAAATTCAGTTCGTGTAATGATTTTTTAAGCTCTTCCTTTCATTTTAATATTTCATATATTAAAATATATTTCATTTCATATATCTATCTATATATATATGACTTTCTTCTTTGGAAGCAAACCTTAAAAAAATATGGCAGATATAGATATCTGTAGATATCTATCTATCCATCCATCCATCCATCCATCCATCCATCCACACACACTGTGGTTCCCAAACTGTGAATGACTGGTCAGGGAGACTCCTCTTTAGCTTGGTGTAGAAAATAGTTTTAAAAGGGTTTGACAGAAGGTCAGATTCTCTTTAATCCAAATAAGTTTATCCTGAAATATTTTGTTTCACGGTATACCAAAACTCATATACTTCTCTTCATCCTTAGGTCTCGGATTTGCACTTTGTTACTCTCCAGCTATTGCCATGGTTGGCAAATATTTCAGCAGACGGAAGGCCCTTGCTTACGGGATCGCTATGTCAGGAAGTGGCATTGGCACCTTCATACTGGCTCCGGTGGTTCAACTCCTTATTGAACAGTTTTCCTGGCGGGGAGCGTTACTCATTCTTGGGGGCTTCGTTTTGAATCTCTGTGTTTGCGGCGCCTTGATGCGGCCTATTACTCTGAAAGAGGACCCTACAACTCCAGAGCAGGACCACATCTGTAGAACTCAGAAACAAGACTTTAAGCGAGTGTCTCCCTGTGCAACTCTGACTAAAAAATGGGTGCAGACCTGCCTCTGTTGCTCTTTGCAACAGGAATACAGTTTTTTACTGATGTCAGACTTCGTTGTGTTAGCCATCTCTGTTCTGTTCATGGCTTACGGCTGCAGCCCTCTCTTTGTGTACTTGGTACCTTATGCTCTGAGTGTCGGAGTGAGTCACCAGCAAGCTGCTTTCCTTATGTCCATTCTCGGGGTGATTGACATTATTGGCAATATCACATTTGGATGGCTAACTGACAGAAGGTAAAATCCGTGAAACCACAGTCGGCGCCCTACCAGGGGACTCCCAGCTTTGAGATCCCCCTCATCCCCTTACCCTGTACAAAACCCACATCTGAGTGACGTCAATGAGTTTTCAGTATCGAGGGCAACCCCCCTGCTGTTTCTTCTAGGTAGAGGTTGGAAACCTTTTCCCATAAAGAGGTAGATAGTAAACGTTTTTGGCTCCGTGGGTCATGTGATCACAAGTATTCAGTTCTGCTGTTGTAGCACAAAACAACAATAGACAATATGTGAAGAAATGAGAGTGGCTATGTTCCAGTAGGACTTTACTATGGATACTGAAATTTTAATTTCCCAGATAATTTTCACACGTTGAAATAGTATTGTTCTTTTGATTTTTTGTTCCAACCACTCAGAAATAGAAAACGCTTCTTAGTTCACAGATAGTGCAAAAACAGGTGGTGATCTAGATTTGGCCATGGTTTGCCAACCTCTGTTCTAGACGGTTCAGGATGATGGGTATGTCTAAATTGCAGAAACCTGTGGTAACCACAGGTTCTGGTGACACGTTTCATTCCATCCGAAGTCAAGTCAGTGCTCAGGCTGGGTGTTGTGGTTTTAGTTTAAAGACAAAACAAAACAAAACAAGCAAACAAACAAAAAACACAGAGGCTGGCTGGAAATGGAGAGAGGAACAGAATTGAGTCCAGGCAGGGAGATTAGGTGCAAAACTAACACATTATTTATAGCCACACATTTGTGTTTGACCATGCGGATAGTAAATACTTACAGTATGATTTTAGGCTTAGAAACCCAAGTTGTAACAAATCTACTAGGTAGTTTCTTAAGCTAATGCTTACTGCTTGGATTGAAGAAGAGTGAGATACTCAGATTCTCTTCACACTCGAGCTGTGACCTGGGAGAGCAATCATCACGTGGCTTCTCACATATTATGTCTTCGGTACTTACTCAGTGTCCAACAGCCATTCTCCAGTGCTATGAGTATAATATTTAAAGTTAATTCCAAATTTAATGGTTAAGGAAAAGCGGGAAGAGCTGGTGTCTCTATCTTGACAACTAAGACCACAAGAAGCAACCCCAGTGTAGGTTTGATAGAGGCATCTCTGCTCAGGGGCTATACCAGACCTAAGTTCTTCTGCTGGCTCTGCCCCTTACTATCCCTGTGACCTAGGGAAAATTAGTGACCCTCAGATCTTCAGGGGTCTTCATCTGTAAAACAGGCGAGTGCACTATTTTTCTGTTGACCTCTTAGCATTTTGTGAGACTCAAATGAGACTGCGGGTTGAAAAACATTTGTAAAGCATAAATGGCCGGGGCCGATACTATACCGAGTCTTTGAAATAATTGGTATCAATGATGAGTTTGGAGCTATAGGGGGAAAAGGTAACGGAAGTACCACTGGGGAGGTCTTGAAAATAACACTTAGTCCTAGTACAAGACTGACATCATCTCTGGCCAGTCATTTTAATGTCTTCATATTCTAGCTTCTCCCTTGTGTAACTTGGGTTATTGACCACATATGACGTAGCAGACACCAATGGGTGACGTACCTGGAAGCATCTAATATGGTAGACGGCTAGAAAATAGTCTCCTGACACTCGACTTGTTATTTCACAACTATGCTTAGGGTGACCGTATGGGATAGGTAACCTTCCCATTATACAGCTTAAAGAAATGGAGATTAGAGTTCAGCAGTTAGTAGGTGACAGAACTGGATTCAGACTTCCGCCTTTCTAGTTTTAGAGCGTATTTTGTGCCACACCATGTTTCCTGGGAAGATGAAGTCTTGTGTGTTCCTATACCAAAAGAAAGATAGGTAGACGACATGGATAACGGGAAGCCTTCTCTATAAATAACTGCAGTGCTTATCGCTGCATGGCCATGGTTCCAACGCTCTTTGATAGAAGCTGTGCATTCTGCACTCATTCTTGGTCTTCAAATCCACAGGTGCCTGAAGAATTACCGGTATGTCTGCTACCTCTTTGCCGTGGGACTGGATGGGCTTTGCTATCTCTGCCTCCCAATGCTCCAGAGTCTTCCTCTCCTCGTGCCTTTCTCTTGTACCTTTGGCTACTTTGATGGTGCCTACGTGACTCTGATCCCAGTAGTGACTGCAGAAATAGTAGGGACCACGTCTTTGTCATCAGCCCTCGGTGTGGTGTACTTCCTTCATGCAGTGCCGTACTTGGTGAGCCCACCCATCGCAGGTAAGTTTCCAGAGAGATCCCCCTGACACCTCTTCCGTTTGTCATACCGATGTGAAAACTGTCAACTCGCACACAGACAATGGGGACTGGAAGTTAAGTTGGGAAGAGCGAAAGGGAAAGGGATTCAAGAGCCACCGAGGTATCATGGGCTCACTTGTATCCTTGTTTTATCATTTTCTTCCAGCCAAGTGGAGACTTTAGCCTACTTGGAAAGAAAAAGTCCAAAATTAGGGTCTTGATTCCATTCCACACTAACGATGGGAGCAATGGAATGGAGCAGCTGTTCAGGCTTATAAATAAGTCAGGCACATTCAGAGGGAAGTCTGGAGGGAGTACAGGATTGCACTTGGGGAGAGTGGGCAGTGAGGCTGAAATGGCAAGTGGGTGTCATAGCGGAGGGTCTTGAGTGCCAGCCAAAGGAGCCAAAGGGGCCCTATATTCTTAAGAGACTACGGATAGTGTTTTTATTTTATTTTTTTTTAATTTACATCCAAATTAGTTAGCGTGTAGTGAAACTATAGAATGATTTCCAAACCCAGCCATTGCTAAAGCAGCCAACTAGGGGAAACTGTGGCTGTTTCACAGCTGCAGATAAAAATTCCTGGTCAGGGGTGCCTTGGTGGCTCAGTCAGTTAAGCCTCCGACTTCAGCTTAGGTCATGATCTCATGGTTCGTGGGTTCGAGCCCTGCATTGGGCTCTGTGCCAACATCTCGGAGTCTGGAGCCTGCTTCAGATTCTATATCTCCCTCTGTCTCTGCCCTTCCCCTGCTTATACTCTCTCTCTCTCTCTCTCTCTCTCTCTCAAAACTAAATAAACATTTAAAAAATTTCCTGGTCAGTTTAAATTCTGTGATACAGGACCATCTTTTTAGTGCTTCATTTTTTTGGAAACTGCCCCCAAAAGGTCCCCCCATCCTCCCTTGGTAGCCAATTTTTGTGTGTACCAACCTTGGAGGGAGCAGTGTAATTCAGTTAAAAAGTCACAGTGCATAAATGAAATTTGGATTCCTGGATCCTTTTTTTTTGGATCCATGGCCTTCATTTGGCAAATTAGACATTCTCGTTGCCAGGCATTGGAGGATTAGGGTGTAAGTTCTTACCATAATACTTCTCTTATTTAATTACCGTTAAAATGACAACTCTCTACTCAGTCTCTTTTGTTTGGTGCTACAGAAATGCATAAGCAAATCACAGGATAACTAAAATATTCGAGAGTAGTTTGGATTACAGAAAACTTTGTGGGGCTTGTAACAATTTCTGCATACCGTTTTTGACTAATGAAGTGGGTGAAAGGAAAAATCATATACTTTTCCAGAGGATTTTCTTGGCATAGAAGTTTAGAGGAGTTTTTAAAAAAACTTTTTAATCGTAAAATAATTGCCTGCCAAGGTCTAATTTGATGCCATCGATTCCCTGATCATTGTGGCCCATATTTTGCATATCATATGCCCTGGTTCTCCTCAAAATTTAGAGCGGGAATTGATATTGGGATTAATTTGTTGCAAAAGGAGCTAAAGAAAAGAAGGAAAAAAAAAAAGCCATGATTGCAGAATGATATCTTGTGAAGTTTGCGTTGGCCGCATCTAAGATGGCCCAAAGTTCTGATTTTCACTGTATGGGGTACAATGACTGGATCCAGCCGAAAATTTGGATTCTTCTATATCCAGGAGCATGTTAATGTCACTCAAGATAGACAGTATGTGGGTGTTGGGAATACTACCAGAATTTGGTACAATTATATTCTCTTAACACCAGAGATAAGTGATCCCAACATCAATAATTTGATGCTATTTTTATCTTTTCTACCATATTTTCTAGGATTAATAACAATATTTCTTGTGCGATTACTAAGAATGGGACACTCCTCCAAACACTTTACCTAGCGGTGACAATCCATTTAAGAACTTTTCCTAGAAAACAGAATGCATTTTCAGTTGCTGCACCATATTTTTAGATCTGCTTCTCATGTCAAAATTGTAATGGTGGTGCTAGCAATCTATTGTTCTTATCCTTCGAAATGATTAGATTTGGGGCACCTGGGTGGCTCAGCTGGTTAAGTGTCCAACTTTGGCCCAGGTCATGATCTCACAGTTTGTGGGTTCGAGCCCTGTGTCAGGCTCCGTGCCGACAGCTCAGAGCCTGGAGCCTGCTTCGGATTCTATCTCCCTCTCTCTCTCTCTGCCCTCCCCTGCTCACACTCTGTCTCTCTGTCTCTCTTTCTCAAAATTAAACATTAAAAAAAAAAAAAAAGAAATGATTAGATTTGAGAGTAGGTAAATAATTGAATTGTCAACTCCACAATGTAATTTCGCTGTTGCTTATTACAGGATGGCTTGTGGATACGACGGGCAGCTACACTGCAGCCTTTCTGCTCTGTGGATTCTCAATGATATTTAGTTCTGTGTTGCTTGGCTTTGCTAGACTTGTAAAGAAGATGAAAAAAACCCAGCTGCAGTTCCTGGCCAAAGAGTCTGATCCGAAGCTGCAGCTATGGACCAATGGATCGGTGGCTTACTCTGTAGCAAAAGAGTTAGATCACAAAGATGAGGAATCTGTCGCTGTCGCAGTGTCTGGTTACAACCCCACATGACCAGTGGCCTGGAGCCTGGGAATCTTCAGGGCTGAGAGAGGTGGGACCACCAGACCGTGTGTGTCTCTGAAGCATTTTATTTTGGCAGAAGCACTGCCTTCCGAGGAAATTATTATTGTTTTATTAACGCGTTTATAGGGGAAAATAGCAAATAACAAAGCACGTTGGACTGGCTCAGAGTTTCCTCACTTGGGATTTGTACTCACAATTGAACTCACATCTTTCAGGCAATTAGCATCACTCCGTGGAGAATGTTAGGACATAGCTGATGCAGTTAGTGGTAATTGGGGGTAATGTCAAGGCATGACCAAAGAAGATGACATTGGGAAGCTTTGTCTGCAACTCTCTGGCCCTCCATCTTCCTCAGTCAGAAGGTAAAGAGAAACAATGACGTGTAGGTGAGCTTACTTTATGCTTTTTTGGAGAAGGGGGTCTGTATGAATCACTGCCTTTTGAAGAATCTAAAGTATTCTTCAGTGACTCTGTTTAAAGCCCTGATGAGAATCTCCACTGTGAGGAAGGGTTGGCATCTTCACCTCTCCACCTCCACTGAAAGCCTTCTTCCTAAGACTGAGCCCCTCACCTCTGGCCCGGCCCTCACCTCTGTTCCTATCACATATAATAATGAGTTTAGCAGAATACGCCAAGTCACAAGGGTGATTCCTCAGTCTCACCTGAAATGTTAACACCAACACGTCTTTAGAAACAAAGCTTTTATTGAACTTGCACACACATTCCTGTTAGGAACTGAAAAATGTTGGCAGTATTCCAACTGGGCAGGAATTGAATTCTCAAATCAGCAGGGGTCTGATGGGAGTTTTCTTTTCAGACCAGACATTTAGGTTCATCATTACCCAAAAGGGAGGTTTGCCTGAAAAAGATTGTTCTAGAGATATTCCAGAGGTGAGGTTCCTTTCTGCCTGTGTTAATTCTTGTTCCAGTGTCCACTGCCCTGTATCTCTTGATGGATAATCGTTCGAAACTTTACGGGCCTCTCCAGATGAATGAGAAGGCTTCAGGGGTTAACCTCAGCATCCTAGCCCTCTCATTAATTAGAGCTTTGTTCAGGCGAGAGGGAGGAGAAGGTTAAAAAGGCTAGAGGTGTGGTATTTTACAGTTCATAGAACTCTTTCACATACCTTCACTCCTTGGATTAGAATAGTTTACTCATTCTCAAGTACTCTATTTTCCTATAGTTTGGGACAATTTCTGACTCTTCAGAGGGAGGGTATCAAAGAGAAGAGAAAGGCCAGAGCCTCCAGCTTGTCTCCAACCGCTTTTAAATCCACAGAGTGATAGCCCTGAATCGCCAAATCGTGTCATACCTGTAAATTAGGAGAAAATTACACAATTGAAAAAGGATTTTAATTATAGAGAAATTTTAAATCTGAACCTGAAAGAAATATTTTTACCCTAAAGGCCATTTAATCCATTGTCCCTCAGGCGGTCTCACAAATGCCTGGTCGGCACTGAGGAGGATCCTAGGTTGACGAAGCGTGTTCACCAAGAGTCTTCGCCTATAACTGGATTATTTCATAAAATTGCATATTAATACATTGTTTTCAGAATGAAATACTGACTTGATTTAATGGAAGAAAACTGTAATATTTCACTGCTGCTTTCCAAAGATAAATTTGAATGTCGCCTGTTATCTTTTTACTTAGCTCAAGAATTAAGTTTTGAACCCACTTACTAGATCATTTGCAATCTACAAATAATACTTGGAAAATATCTGTAAAAAATCAAAGTTATGATGAACTTATGTGTGTTTGGAATAGCACTTTATACTAGATATCGTTTCTTGAATCTTCAAGCCTAAAGATTTTTTGAAATATAAATAGTTCTAAATATTCCTAGACATATTTCTTCCTAGCAGCCAGAGTAAAATTTTCGTTCTCAAGTTCTGCAATATGATTTCTCTGAAGTATTATAAGTGTTCCTGAAAAATGAGTATAGAAACCAGAGCTTTAAAAAATTTGTTTAAAGTATTTGGGATATTTTTACTTTCTACATGCATAAATTTGTATTTTACTTGCCCATTTGGAGCGCAATTTTAGAAAACCAGCAAGGAAAATGTAGATCTTAGACTCCACCATTGTATCGCCACAAAATTTTACTGTTAAGGTTCCATGTGCCTATACTGTTTTTTCCAAAAGGGAGAGATTCGTAGGAATGATGTGTTTTGTGGAATCAAGAACAAAATTGTGGTAGGATGATTCTGCATCTTAAATATTTCTTCATATCACTGTGAGCTCTACTTTGAAATTGAGTAGAAAAGCAAAGAAGCTAACTTCTATTGATACACTGTACCATTGGGCCTTTTTTTTTTTTTTTCAGATTGTGATTTTACTAGTAGATCAGATATTTATGCTCATATTTTCTTATTTCAAAAGCGTAATAAAATGAGTTTATATTTGTGTTTGGAAACACATTTTTCCCTGTACAAGGGGTTTGGATTGAATGGCGAGTGAGCTTGTCTGGATTATGCTAAAATGTAGCTGGCATATAAAGATGTGGTAAACAATCAAATAATTTACAAAAGCCAAACCCATGTATTGAGTGTTTTCAATGTATTAGCTACTGTGCTAAGCACTTCCTATGCATTGTATTATCTAATCCCTGTAACCTCTATTGTCACCACTTGATAGATGTGGAAACTGGGGTATCACGTGGCCACTGCACTTCCATTGCCTCCAGGGAAATCCGGTAAAGCCAGGAATCTATCTGATGCTGGACCCTGCCTCCTTCCCCTTGTGCCTATCTGGGTTATCTTATGTGTGTTGAAAAGCCATTTGGAAACAGGCCCTCCCTCGAGAAAAATTTTTAAAAAAACCTTTGGATTATGCTTCAATCTACCAATTCGTATAGATAGGAAGATTCTAGAATGGAAATTTCCAAGAGTTTTCCCAAGAGTCTGGTTCTAGCAAGACCACTACTTCCAGGCTAAGTGGTTTAATTTGCTGTCTATTGATCCAGGCCTCTCTTGGGGAGCGTTTACGTGTGTGTAACAGGGAGAAGGAGAAGGTTGGGAAACATACTTTGTCCCAAAAGAGAGTTCCACCTTCTGCATTACCAGAGTCATGCTTTCTCAGTCAACAGTTGAATTCTTTCTTAAGTGCCTGCACCATTGCCCCTTGATGACGAAGATGGTAATGTCTATCTGGCACTCACCTTCCTCGTCTTAGTGGGTCTAATTCTGAAATTGTTTACTGAGCTGAGATAGTATGAAACATCAAGGTAGATATCTGAGTTTCTCTTCTCATACTTCAAAGTTCGAGCCTTTATTTTTTTTTCTAAACCAAACAATAGATTTTTATACCTGTTGCCAGAGCAGCTACTAGTGAGAGACGACTGGGATTTTGTCCCATAACACAGAGAAATATTTGGTAGGGGGGAATGGGAAAATACTAAATCATGATCAAAAGACTGACATTTAAAACAAAACATTTTATTATGGAACTTTTCAAACGTACAAAAAAAAGAACAGTAAAATGAACTTGACATAACTACCACACAGCACCTACAATTATCTATCTTTCACCCTCCCCCTTGATGAACCTATTTGAAATACATTAACATGCTGACAGGTTATGTCTTCCTTCAGCTGCCAAGGAATAACTGAACCTGGCAAGAATAATTTATTCCTGCAAGCAGAGGGTATGGGTGGTTTAGTATCACCTATTAATGGACCACGTCATTACAAAGCTGATTGGGTCCGCTTTCTTTCTGTGGACTTTGGGCATCCAAGTTACAGGTTAAAATTCTTCCTCTGTCTTTCCCCAGCCCCCACGTGATCTATCCACCTGAAGCTTAAGGAGGTATCATATCAGTGAAAGTGCTTTTGAATTCTGGAAAAAAGTGATGATTATTTCTCTTAGTTTAAGTGTCAGCGACCTCTTTCAGGAGTAAAAGCACTATATGTGTATACATACATACGTACGTTTATTTATTTATTTATTGATTTATGTATTTATTTTTGGGAGAGTGCGAGTAGGTGAGGGGCAGAGAGAGGGGGACAGAAGGTCCGAAATGGGCTCTGCACTGATAGGCTGACAGCAGTGACTCCGATGTGGGGCTCGAACTCACTAACAGTGAGATCTGACCTGAGTTGAAGTTGGATGCTGAACTGATTGAGCCCCTCAGGTGCCCCTATTTTTAAGGAATTAATTTATGGCCCACTTAAGATTTAGTTGACATTAAAAGGTATTAAAATTAACATTTTACAAGATGACCCTTGGGGCACTTGGGTAGCTCAGTCGATTGAGCCTCTGACTTCTTCAGCTTGGTTCTTGAGTTCAAGCCCCACATCAGGCTTGCTGTTGTCAGTGCAGAGCCTGCTTTGAATCCTCTGCCCCCTCTCCTGGGTGGCTCAGTCAGTTGAGCGTCCAACTTCAGCCCGGGTCATGATCTCGTGGTCCGTGGGTTCGAGCCCCACATCGGGCTCTGTGCTGACAGCTCAGAGCCCGGAGCCTGTTTCGGATTCTGTGTCTCCCTCTCTCTCTGACCCTCCCCTGTTCATGCTCTGTCTCTCTCTGTCTCAAAAATAAATAAACATTAAAAAAAAAAATTTTGAATCCTCTGCCCCCTCTGTCTGCCCCTCCCCCTCTTGTGCTCTCTGGCATGCATGCATTCTCTCTCTCTCTCTCAAAAACAAAAATTAAAAAATAAAAAGGCAACCCTTTTAGTTTTCCCATAAAATTGTTTCGCTTGTGATGGCAAGTTAGGTGTTCTCTCACTAACACAATGACGGGAGAAAAAGAGAGGCCCCAGTGCTAGCTGTGCTGAAGACATATTCTTATTCCCAGATAACTTGTTTCTGCAACTGGCCCTGAGCAGAGTCTGGCTGTGGCTCAGGGTGGGGAAGTAGATGCGAGTGAGGGAAAGGGCCATGTGGTTACCTGAGATTCCATCAGACTCTGAAAGCCTCTGGGTCTAAAATTTGCTGATCCCTGCCCAAGCAGAGGTGGAAGAATTTGGACATCTGACTCTAGTTTTCAAAA